GGGGGGCCTGGGCCACGGAGCCTGCGCGTCCGGAGCCTGTGCTCCGCAACGAGAGAGGCCACAACAGTGAGAGGCCCGCGTACAGCGGGGAAAATAAATAAATAAATTAATTAATTAAAATAAATAAATAAATAAATATATATATATATATATATATATATATATATATATATAAAATACCTGGAAGGGATTTAGCAATAATCTAAATCCTAAATAATCTAATCCTATTTTAGATTATTTAATCTAAATTTTAGATTAAATAATCTAAAATAAAATAAAACATATCACAGTAATCAAGATGCTGCAGAGTATTTTATAGTTTGGGGAACTCTTTTTGTTATTATTTATACATTTGTGTTCATTATAAAATTGTAAGATATAAAGTTAATCTCCTTTATCTATAGTGACAGAGAGCTAAACTAAATGGTATGTGCTCTGAGCTGGGGCAGAGGCAAAGCTGTCAGTTGTGGAATGAAAACTTCCAGCTTCCTCATTCTGCTCTTTTCTCTCAGGCTACTTATCGAGTCGGGAGGAGGTTGCTTCTTATTACCACTGTCCCGAGGCACCCCTGGAGGCTAAGGTGAGCCCTAGACAAGGAACCAGCTTGGGAACAGTATTGGGCAAACTCTACCCTCTACCCTTTTCCTTGTTTCTGTTCCATGAGGAATAATGGTTTCAAGTGGAACAAAAACTAAGGATAATTTCCCTTTGGCAATTCGAGGACTTTTCATACGGGGAGGCCACTAATCAGTGATTATATTTAATGTCATTATAGTATGATAATAACGTTGCATACAACTCATATAGTGTCTGTCTCAAGGAGGCTTAAAGGACTCAGAGGTCACCCTATATTTTGATTCTCTGCAAAAGATCATTGAAAAACAATAATTCATAACCATCAAATAATTGAAATTTTAAATTTTACCAATAGGTCTTTTATGAATCTGTAGCTTCCTTCACTGCCCTTAAGGTCACTTAGATGGGAAGATAGAGCTTCCATGGCATACTGGATTGATGGCAGGGCCATGTTTAAATGCTACCCTCTGCTCTGTTGTCCACTGCGTGGGGGTCAACTTTTCTTAACATTAAGAGGTGCCCTATATCTGTCTTTCAGAAGAGAGTCAGGTTTCAAATCTCTGGTCAAAAGTAAATAAATAACCAGGTGAAAAAGTCCAAGGTCATAATGATCTCTCATGGAGGTCTGCTGAGTCACAACCAACCCGTTCTTTTTTAAGTGATTTATTTCTCTTAAGTGGCCAACATTTTCAACAACTTTTAGATTTGCACATATGTAAACATATTCACTTCTTTCAATTTTGGCTTTGTACAGTCCCCACTACTTTACACAGAGTTTGTGAAAATAAGGGTTTTTTTGCTTCCCACTCATTCATCTGATAACCTCTTTGCTCCTGTTGCTGTTGGGACCCCTAACAAAATGAAACTTTTCTGTTCTTTACAGGATGTCATTCTAACAAGTGGCTGCAGTCAGGCTATTGAACTTTGTTTAGCTGTGCTGGCCAACCCAGGGCAAAACATCCTAGTTCCCAGACCTGGCTTCTCGCTCTACAGGACTCTGGCTGAATCTATGGGAATCGAGGTCAAACCCTACAATTTATTGGTAAATGACTTTTAAATTTTAGACACAAGAGCTCAATTACTACTTCATAAAAATATATGACCATTATCTTAGCAGAGAAAGATCTGGAAGTGGGTGGTCGAGGCCACAGACACATTTTGTTATTTACACTATATCTTTGAGTGAAGTGAGTAGTCCTACATTTTTCAGAATCATCTTAGTCTCCCCCTTTTTTCCTCCCCAGCCAGAGAAGTTTTGGGAAATTGACCTGAAACAACTGGAATCTCTGATTGATGAAAAGACAGCTTGTCTCGTTGTTAATAATCCATCAAACCCTTGTGGGTCAGTGTTCAGTAGAAGTCATCTCCAGAAAATTTTGGCAGGTAGGTCCAGCAGACTTCACTTGACAGGGGAGAAGATGGGGATGGAATCCTTCAGGTGTTTCATGGAACGAGAAAGGAGTCCTTCACTAAGTTCCAAGCCTAGGATGGAGGTGGGAGGGCTCCACTGGGGTCTCTAGTGAGTGGTGTGCCCCTGGAAAGGTAGGAAGTTCCTGAAAGAAGGCGAAAAAGAGGAAATACTTGCCTCTTCACCACTCCCATCATGTGGAAGAGAGGGTTTGAAATATCTAGTTAATTAAAGAGCAAATTTAGGCTCTGCACCCTGGAAGAGTATAAGAAGAGTTTATAGTTCTTAACGAGGAAGATGAAACATACAAACATGAAATGCAAAGTATAATGAGCCCAGGTAAATATTAAATGCTAAGGCAATTCACATTAAAAATGATTTCAGCATGTTTCTCTTATTTTCAGTGGCTGCAAGGCAGTGTGTCCCCATCTTAGCTGATGAGATCTATGGAGACATGGTGAGTCTTGGGTAGGATGCATCACTTCCATATTCTCAATCCCAAATTATCTCATGACACCTTTAGATGTGGCACCTAGAATAATCAGAAGCAAATCCTAATCATTTCAGTACAGCACTAATCAGTAGTATCCCTGCACTCTAAACAGATATACAGATAACCAGCCCTTAGCCAGTTTTCCAAAATCCAAAAAGCTATAAATATCTGAAGATTTTGAGAATTCATTTGGTGGCAAAACCTGACGTGGCCTGATAAATCTTTATGGCCTGGTAAATCTTTATCTCACTTATGGATCTATATAAGAGTGTAAGGAAAGGGGTGGAACAGTTACTCTGCTTGATTAGGAGTGCTGTCCCCGATTGCCCTGCGGCTGTTATATAATATATGGTACATGTGCTATATAACCTTTCTAAAATCCAAACAGTTCTACATTTTGCAACACACTTGAGCCCAGGAATTTCACATAAGGGATTATGGACCCATACATTATTGTGAAATCTGTAACTCCAACCGCCATTCATTCCCTAGAGCCAAGGGTTGTACCTATTACTGGGCTGGGGTCAGTTTCCTCATTTTAGGCTTCCTTTAATCTAGACTAGATACTGGGTTAAATGTATTTGGGTGTCCCCTCTGAAGCCTCTTGAGATCCCAATCATGCTTCAGGGTAGGAATGAGCCCGTAAATCTGAGACCCTGTCCCTAGTGATATAAGGAAAATTTTGCAAGGCATGGGATTCGGCGGAAAGTAAACCAGAAGACAACTGTAACAAGCACCTCTTCTCCTCAGGTGTTTTCAGATTCCAAATTTGAACCTTTAGCCACCCTCAGTAGCAACGTCCCCATCCTGTCCTGTGGAGGGCTGGCCAAGCGCTGGCTGGTTCCGGGCTGGAGGATGGGCTGGATCCTCATCCATGACCGAAGAGATATTTTTGGCAATGAGGTGAGAGCAATGTGGTAAAATAGTATGTCTAATTTAGGGGTGATTATATATATATATATTTTTTTCTAAATATTTATTTATTTACTTTGCATGCACAGTGGTAAGGAGGTAAGGAGTTTTTTTCTTTCTTTTTGGCCCTGTAGCTCCGTGTGCCTGGAAAGACACTGGATACAGACAGTACTAGTTATTCCTCTCCAAAACTCAGTTTTTCTGTCTTGGTGAGGAAGTTCCATCTACCTCCAATTTTAGTACCACAAAAAAGGAAACAATAGCAGTAATGATACCTAATATTGTTTGTGGGAATACAATGTGCCAGTGCTTTATGTACTTTATTTCAATTTAATTCTCCTAACAACCCTGTGAGGCCAATATTAGTATTACCTCCATTTTACAGGTAAGAAATATGAGACACAGAGAGGTTGTATAATTTTCCCAGAGTCACACAGCCAGTGCACGGCAGAGCTGGGCTACAAACCTAGGTGGTCTGATCTAAGAATGACACTAGGCACCATCACTTCTCCAGAGATTAAAAACTTGATAGAAAGAATTGGCAGAACAAGGATCTCCACAGTGGGGATGCCTAAGAAAGGCTAAATAATGTGTTTGCTGGGGGGCTTTTAGATCCGAGATGGGCTGGTGAAGCTGAGTCAGCGGATCCTGGGACCCTGCACCCTTGTCCAGGGAGCTCTGAAAAGCATCCTGCATCGCACCCCTCAAGAGTTCTACCACAACACTCTAAGCTTCCTCAAGGTAAGGGCAGCCCATGACTTTCCACTTTGGGAGTCAAGGAATGCCACCAGTGGAATTTGAAATAATGGGTCCTCATTTCTGGAGCAATGCTCCATTATGGGGCTTCCAAACCAGGAGGTGGCATCAGTGTAAATATCTACCCATACATTTCTCTAACTTCTGGCAATCCACCCTGCTCCTGGCCAAAAGCTTCAAGTGGCAGAGTTTTTATCTTGTTGCCCCTTATGCCAGGAGAGCAAACTTAGGTTCCCTGCCTTTGATGTGGGCTCTCCTTTTAATGACTTGTTTTTTCTTTTGCTTAACTTTTCATTCTTGATGTCTCTGTCTCCTCTCGTAGTCCAATGCGGATCTCTGCTATGGGGCATTGGCTGCCATCCCTGGACTCCGGCCCATCCGCCCTTCTGGGGCCATGTACCTCATGGTGAGTATGTGGGTGGCAGGCAGTTGGTGGTAGGCGGGGGAGGCCAATCTGCAGGGCTCACGAAGACAACCACATGGGCTCCTGAGCCAGTCAGTTTAGGAACTGCCTTGGTCTGAATTGTCCCATCGATGTGGTTTAACCTCCGTGCTAAAAAAAGAAAAAAGAAGAAAAAGAAAAAAACTCTTAAAATGACTTAATTCTTCATACAGAGACTCATTTTATATGTAGATACAGGGATGACATAAGACACAAATAAGAGGCTTTCCACACTACTGTAATTCTCACCTAGAGAGATCTGGTTCCCTAGGAATATTTGGGGATATATAGGAATTTTGTTTGTTTTCAGAAAGACTGTTTGGGGTGCTATTGGCATTTTGTGGGCCAGGGATGCTAAATATTTTTCAGTGGGCAGGGTAGTTCCGTGCAATCAAGAATAGTCTGGCCCATAATGATAATAGTGCCTTTTAAAAATTAATTAATTAATTAATTAATTAATGTATTTTTGGCTGCGTTGGGTCTTCGTTGCTGCGTGTGGGCTTTTTCTCCAGTTGCGGCGGGCGGGGCTACTCTTCCTTGTGGTGCGCAGGCTTCTCATTGTCGTGGCTTCTCTTGTTGCGGAGCACGGGCTCTAGGTGCGCGG